TAAATAGATAAATAAAAATTTAAGAAAAAAAAAATAATTAATGTTGGGCGCCGCTCTTTTTCACGGATTTTAATCTAAGTAATCGTTTATAAAATATTATTCTATGATTTTAAGTAAATGAATGTATGTATATATATGTATTAAGAATTTAACAGTCTGTGAAAGAATATTGCGCAAAATTATCTTAAAGGATAGACATAGCGATGGGGCAACTATGAATTATGCATATGAATAAGAACTTTTTTTGATAATTAACAATGCAATAAAAGGGAGAGATTTTCGAGAGTGTATAAATACGAGTAGTAGAATGAAAATTGTGAATATTAAGAAAGAGAATATTGACTTAAATTATTGAGAATTTATATAGGAATGAATTCTGACTAAGATTTCTAAGAGTTCAACATATTTTATTTCATTTTTCAAAGGGCCTTATAAATTTTTATTTCTTATATTTCTAAAAGTAATTCTTTAGGATTACTAAGTAAGTTTAATTGTAGGACTTCTGTTGTTGAAATTCAAGTTACATTGTTAAAAAAATTCAATTCCTTATTTCAAAATGAGAAAATGCCTGACAAAAATAAAGTATAAAAATGTTTTGGCAGCAACTTCGACCTGACAAAAATGTATTCAAAAATTCTCTCTTGCAATATATTGTTATTTTTTTGACAGACTGACGATCTTTATAGATAAATCAAGAAAAATTTTGACGCATTTATAATAATTTTCTTTGTGTCATTTTCTTTGTTGACAACAATGTCACACTCCTTTTTGACAGACCTGACAGTAAGAGTAGCTGAATTAAGAATAAAATCTCAAATAAAATTCATTTCTAAAATATTTTAAATAAATTTTTTTTTATTCTAAGATTCGGAAAAATAATTCGGAATTTACCGTGACTTCATTGCAGTCATACTTACATAATGTTTACACAGTCCAGAAATTACAATTCATTAGCTGATTTATACATATTGCAATTTAAAAGTCAGAGGTAATTTTAGAATTTATGTACCAAAAACTATCACAACTTTTATGAATTCTACAAATCTGTTATAATTCCTACATAAATTTAATTTCATTTTTAATGACAATGTAAAATGGCTGTAGTTTTAAAATTAATTCCAATACAACCACTGCACTTTCATGATAGCGTGACTATTTTTAAGTATTCTATTTTAATATACATAAAATAAATTTTTTGTTAAAAGCCAAATTTCATTGATTTTGACGCCACCTACATATTATTCAATTTAATGTACATTAAATTTCGCAATTTAAAAGAAAAAAAACTCTCACATCATGAATAAAAATTTAAAATAAGATTGCATCTTCCATATCATTTGAAAATTATTTCGTATTTATTTATTTATTAAGTTTTGATGTGAAAAATTTAATTATCTTATGTTTTTAATAGCCATAAAATAACGGTGTTATTTTATCACATAGTAAATAAATAAAAATTCCTTTTAAATAATAGAATTGAATTTTTAACGCCTCTCACATCATTTAATAATATTATACTTACTACCAAAAGAATCGAAATGAATGAATGAAGCGATTTAATCGGAAATTATTATCGAAAATTCATTTTATATAAAAATGAAAATATAATTTCTTTGTTTGTTCTTCCTTATTTTTTCATTATTATTTTTAAATCAAAACAGTAAAGAACAAAACCGTAAATCTCATAATTGGTGCCCTCAAAGCATTTAAAGAATCCAGTGTTTCGAAAAAAAAAAAAATGAACTACCACCATAAACAGGTGTTGTTCTTCTTTTCATTCTTTGTTCACAAAAGAAAAGGGGACTTAATTTTTCTCATTCCATTGCGATTATCAGCAGTAGGATTGTTTTTTTTTTAAAGATTATAAGCAATTATATCTTCCCATTTTTCTGACACTTTAAGAAATTAACTAAAAAAAGAACAATCCAAAAAAAACAAAGTTTAATTCTTTTTTTGATTTTTAAGTACGATGGCAAATGAATGAATGGGTGCGTTAAAAGATTTTTAATTTTAATTAGATAAATATTCGCCACCACTTGGTAGTTTTCTCTCGCTCGCTCCCACTTTTGTTCTTTCTGTTTCTCTTTGTATAATTTTTAACTAAGTTGAACAAATTTTAAACGGCTATACACACTTTATTATTTATTATCCATTAAAATCATAAACATACTGGCATGTTAAATATACAAAAAAAAAAAAAAAAATCATAACGCCACCATACTGAGAAAAACCTAAACATTTTGAATTGAAAAATTGGGTCAAATTTTTTTTTGTCTGTTTTTATTTCTCCGAACAGTAAAAGTTTGTAATCTACTAATCAAATATCTGTTAAAAAAGAATGTAGAGAAAAAAAAACCTTGAATTTAATCTTATAAAAAATAATTGTTGGGGTCACATTAAATTTTGATTGACATGTTGTTAATAATAGATTAAAAGTTTTCTAAAAAAAAAAATTCTTCAATTTTTTTTTTCGTTCTTCAAAAATTTTGAAGTTGTATTTTTTATAAGATCAAGTTTGAGTTAAAGGAGGACAAAAAATATGGGCAAATTTAACAAAATTCTTATTGTTTACTTACCTAGCTCCTACAGTTCTAAACTGCTACCGCAGATATTTAGAAAATGTAGCTACATTCACTTCGTTTAATAAATCCAATATAAAAAAAACTACCGAAATAAGTGTGCGTAGCTCTTATCTTCTTCTTATCTATAAGCAACAATAAAGATTTATAAACGCAGCACTGCAAAACAATAACTTGAAAACGCAATTATGCAAAAAAAAAAAAAATAAGGTATCATGAATATGCAATATATTTTTAACTATTCTATAAAATCTAAATATAGTTCATATATGATTTATCTGGGCTACTCCTACTTATTTTATCTATATTACGAATTAGCCATGTTTTCGATTATGAATATAGCACAGTTTTCACTATATATCGCGATATGCTGCGCGTTTTTGAAAAGAACTAATAATATGCGCTGAAAGTTCTATACCCTTGGGGTGTTGTTTGCCTTAAAAACAGGCGGTTTGGTTCTTTGATTGATCAACGTAGCCGGTGTATGCATTCCACCATATCCCAATTAGCAAAAATGTACAGTTTTGCTACCACTGCTCTATGATCACCACACCATCTATCTAAATCCCTGAAGCCAATCTTCGATATCTAGTCAAAATCCGTCAAGCTTGCTCTGCCTCACGTGACCAGGCTTCTCCCGCCTATAACCGGACACAGAGATGGTGAAGAATAGACTCCTTTTTGTTCATTTCCCGGCAGCTGCAACAGTGTTGTATTAAAGAATAATCCTAGCAAGGTCGCATTCTCCCCCAAGTTCCAGTGTCCCGCATATACTGCCAATACCAGCGACGTTACTGCCTACAACAGAGAGACCCCCCAAGATTTCGCTTTTGAGTATAGCTAAAACTTCCGCCTAAAAGACACTCAACTCGTTATGATTCAGATACCCTACGTGTCAAGAAAAAAACTTTATAACCTACTGGAGCCAGCGAAAGCTTGCAGGTAATAAAAGCAATATTACAATTTTATAGATAATCTCTAAGGTTGACTATAAAAATACCTTCTCTGAAATAAACCAATATTTCCTAATAAGTGCCCAAATATCTGAAAACCATAAAAAGTCGTGCGACGGTAAATGTAACACTGCTGTCAGCACTAAAAGTCATCATGCAATATTCACATGTACATACATAAAAATTAGCGTTTTTTTGTGCCAATGTTTTCTTCATTAAATTTATGTTCTTTTTTTTTTGTTTTTTACTTTGGTTCATAAGCAAACTATGGACAATTTTTTGTTTCTTACAGCAGCAATTCTAGATTAATTATCTGTCTAAGAGACTTTCGAATCATATGTATACAAAAAAAAAGGGAATACGGCGTAATCAGTTCATAAACCTATAAAAATATTTTGAAGAACAAAGAAAACACTGCTCAGTTTCCGTTATTTCAATCAATTTCCAATCATATTTTTTTCAATCTATTTAAAAAAAAAAATAAATTACTCCAATAAATGCAAAGCACAAAAAAGAAACTTTCCTGTTATTAAAGAAGAATCTCAATTAATTAGACAATCTTGGCACATCCATGGACTAGATACTGTTAATATCTTAGTTTTTTTTACTGTTAGTTAAATTTTTTTTTTCTGAAATTTCGCCACCTTTTTAAAAAGAATTCCAAAATATTTAATTTACAAACAATGCCCTAAAGCCAATTTCTAAATTTAATATTTCTCATAAGTTGTAAAAATCCGAATTAACAAAAACTTAATTGAATTTTCTTCTAAATGATATTTGCGTTTTAAATAATCTTAAGGCTCATCATGCGATAAAATATTTTTTTTATTTTACATATTTACCAGTTGAACAAGCTTCGATAATACTTGGAAAGAGTAGTGCACCTTTGAGTTATTAATGAACTTTACAGTTGATTGCGAACTTATGAAATATTATCTCTCTTCATTACTTAATTACCTCGTCTATACGTTTCATTTAATTAATCTTAAAGCGTTAATAGTTATTTAAAACCTGTGCCAATATCAGCACAATTTTTAATATTAAAGTCATTTAAATACTGGGGTTTATTCTGACAGTCACTTAAAATATAACAAAAAACTTAATTGAATATCTTACAAAATTTATCACTTTAAACCTAAAGTCGGATGACTTGACAGTCACGTAGTGAAATTTTGTACTAATTTTTCTAATGGTGAAATTGTGTTATTCTTAAAATTTAAGAGAGTGAGTTTAAGTAGAAAAATATGACATTTTATGTAACAATGTGAAATTGGAGTGACATTTTGTGCAAATGAGACGATCGACTGGAATAAGACTATTTATTACTATCTAGACACTATTTTTTTTCAAGTGAATCATGAGAAATTTTTTTTAAACACACAAATAATTATTAATTTTAAATTAATATCTTAAATAAATTACTTTTATTAATAATAATTAAAATTTTGATTTATTTTTATAATTTTAGATCAGCTAACTTTCATCGTAATACTCATATATGTGAACTTTCTCAAATGGATCGTATAACATTAGCAGGATCAAATGCTTTTCAATTACATGATGGTGTTGATTATCTTGAAAATAATTGTGCCGATGAACCAAATAAACTATGTGAATTCAAACGTTTATCTGGACGTATATTAAAAACAGTTGATTCAGTATATCAAGATGTTTCAAGTATTGATGAATGTCGTGATTTATGTTTAAATTCAGCTTATAGGTATGTATAAGAATTTTTGTATATAAACTATAGTAAAAAATATAAAATTGAATAAATTTTCGGGAAAATATACGAAAAAAATTTTTTAATATAGTTTGTAGTACAGGGATGTGCATATAGCTTGCAAAACAGGGAGCCAGTGAATTATAAATGTAGGGGTTGTATATTTGGTGTTAGATAACTAAGCTAAAATTAAAATTGAAATAGCTAAACACGAACTTTTTCGATAACTACCCAAGTACTACCTAAAAATAGAATAAAATTTCAGTTTTTTACATTCGATATACAGTGTGCAGATATACAGTTTTGTGCAGATATTCAGTACATAGTGATGATGTACAGCTTATGTACACATAAAAATTAATTTTATGTTATTAATGTCCACATTTCCAACTTAATTGATTGACCTCGTCTACAAGTCCTGTATGAACAGTTACTAAAATAGTTTTATTCTCACAAGGGGTAGCCGACAAATCAATCAAATTTTTTCTGTTGCATTTTAGCTACGCCTTTCCTATGTTGTATGTGACAAAGCTTCCCCATACACAATGAGTAATATAGAGGTATACAAGTATGTTTTTTCAGTGTTAATTTGGGCAGAATTTTCCTTACCCTCCGACTTCTCCTGTGAAGTGTATTACCAACATCATTTACACATATTTAATTTTCATTTGGAATTACTCTCATATTTGTTACTCTCATGTTAAATAGCATGCTGTTTTTAAAATAATAAAATCATTAAAATAAAATGTCTATATTAAGTAAAATTTAAAATTTATTAACAAAGAAAATATTCCAATCCAAAAATTCAATTAATTTTTAATTACTTAGAAAAGCATAAGTGCTAAAAAACAGATTAGCAAATTTTTTATAATCTCGTTTTTTTAATTTTTTTTTCTTATTTTAAAATTTCTTAATTATAATCCCAAAGGGAAGATTATTTTTTTATCTTTATTTTTATTAAAATTTTTAAAAAATTTTATTTAATTTTTATTACCACTTTAAGTGGATTCGTTTTACTGATTAAATACAAAATTATTTGATCACGTCTTGTAAAGCGACGGTTCTTGAATTTTTCGAATACAAACCAATGAAAGTGAAAAATTATGAAAAAAAAAAAAATATTGGAATTCAAATGAAATCTTAAAATTTTTGGAAAAATTTTAGTGGATTCTTGTATTCGTTCCATTCAAGATCCATTAATTCCAAGGAGAATCCATTCATACATAACTTCTTTAATGATTTTTCGCTAAAAGAACCTGATTACCTAAAATGTACGTTTGACGATTTTAGTAACTGTTCCGGTAGTAAATTTAGTAAACACGTGAACGTTTTATTTACAAAAATTTTCGAAGTTCTTTATACAAAAGTAATTTTTTGTTCATCATTTGTAAAGATAATCGAAAATATGTAAAGGATTAGACAAATGATATTAAAATTAGAAACGACCTGAAAAAAACGAAAATAGGAAGAGCTGACCGTGTCATACCCGTTCGAATGAATGATATTTTAAGTGCTGTTTCTTAATTGCCACACACTTTTCACACTCTTGTTTTTGGTTTTTTATTCAATTACACAAAATTTCAGCCCTGTAATTTCGATAAATAAGAGCAAACGACTTTCGAAATTGTATGGTAGCTATCAGCACAAGTCAAGAAATTCCAACTAGAATTATATTTTATTAAATATAATAACATTACTAAAATACTTGCTTTTGCGAAATTTCGACATTATAGCTTCACTTATTTCTGAGATATAGCCAAATAAATCTTAAAGTTATTTTGCACAATTAACCGAACAACTGTCTCGAATTCTAAATGGGGTTTCTAAATCATTTACTATTATGAATCATTATATAGTTTTTAAGTTATCGTTGACAGACGGATAGATATGATTAAATTGACTCAGAATTCGACTCTGATTAAATATCTACACTAATTTCTATATCTCTTTCAAAATTTTCAGAAAAAAAAAATTTGAAATATGGGGCATTCGCTCCTTTTATACTCACATCTCATTTAAATTTTAATTATCCCCATATTAAATTTTATGCAAGCACTTCTCAAGCATAAAATTTACATGAATTTTCCATAAACAAACAGGGTTATAATTAGAAAACTGACACAAAAACGTTCCATTCATAAATATGAAGATTTATTAAATAAATGGTTTGTGTAATACTTGTACAATTTATATAAATTTTAATTACAATATACAATTTAGAATTTAATTTTGAATGCAGAATGAAATTGAGACAGAACGTCCACCTCAATAATGATGAATGAAAATACTCTTATGTAAATATTTCATCAAAATAAATCACCTATTCAATTACAAATCTATAAAAGTTAATTAGAAAAATGAAAGAAGGCAGGCGATAACCTTTATAAATGTACATTTTTGTATATTAAGAAAATTTTTTTTAAATAAACTCATATTTTACAAAACAAGTACCTTAAAACACACTTATAGACACCTTAAAACCATCCCATACATTCCACCTTAAACAAAAAAAAAATGCAATTAATTTTTTTGTTTTTTACAAATTTCCATTTTCCTCTTCGAATCTTCATGCATTCCTTTCATAAACTTTTTTGTAAAGATCACACAATATTCTCTTCTTCCTTCCTTCATTTCGATAAAATCAAATTTAAAAATTTAAGAAAAAAAAATCATTAAGTCATTCAAAAAAAATTTTTTTATGGGACATTGGAGAAAACCTTCTATAATTACTTTTTAAAGAGCATACAACATGGTAAAACCAAAACCAAACTGTAAGACACAAGAAAAAAAAACGAAATTCTTTTCAATCTGTCATAATTTTTATGCTTCATTTATTCTCCATTTTTTTTTTGTCCATACTTTTTTTATGCATTTTTTCATTAATTTTTTATTTTGGAAAATAATAAAAAAAAATTATTTAAATGCATTTTTTTTTGTTTTTTTTTTTTCATTAATTCTGCAATTCATTCTTTGAAAACTTTTTGGACATTTTTGACTTCTTAAGAAGATTATATAAACTTGACCTTAATGATGTCCAGAAAAAATGAAATTATCACAAAAAAATGAGGAAAAAATGTATGATGACCAAAATGTCTTCGTTATGGAGAAATGAAAATTAAAGTATAAACGTTTGTAAAACTAATGGCCTAAAATAAGAAAAAAAAAATCATATTTTGGCTGCTTATCTTTTTCGTATATATGGTTTTAAATCAATAACAGTTGACAGAATTAAAACGACGGTATGTAAAACAGTCCTTTTCCTACCGTACATTTGCAATGCTATCAGTTAAAATGTTTTTAACAATTAAGCCTCCAAATGGATATATAGAGAAGAGAGAATAAGCAACGTCTTTTTAATATTAGGAAAATTACATTCTTTAAAGCACACTAAGTAAAGCGACTCATAATTCAACAAATGTGCTTGCTCTCTTGCTATAATTTAACAAATGTGGCTTGCTAACTTAAAAATTATGTCTAATTAAAAAAAAATATCATCGCATTTAATTTGAGGATTCAAGTTCGTATGGAATCCCATGCGAACCAAACCTGTACTTATATTATGTCCTTGCTAAATTCTACCATTTCATACTAGTATTAATATTAAAAGATTAGCGCTTTGTTTCAGAACAATTTTTTATGCAAACTCAAAAAAGAGAGTGCAAAAATGAGGGAAATATATGTAGGTAATCGGCGTGAATCAGGAGTATTGAATGCCTTTTTGTAATAAAACATTTGTTAAAGGATAACTTTATATAAGTACAGTTCTCCCCGGTTAAATGCACCACGCTTAATTGATTTTCCCCTTTTATTGAACGAAAAACTAAGGCAACTTTAAATCCCTATTAAAATATACATGAATAACATCGTTTAATTGAGTCCCGTTTAATTGAACAACTCGCTTAAATGAATCTCTTTTTTTAGTATTACCTTATAAAAACTGTGAAAAATTCCCCTGTTTATTGACCTGATAATTTGTTTTTATTTTTGATATGAAATATTTATTTTTAATTTTTGTTATGTTATGTGATATAAAAACATTATGGTTTACATATTTTGAATTTGAATTCACAGTAACATTACTTAGATGGATTTAAAATGATGAAAAATTTAAGTTTTAAAATTTTGAAATAAAGAAAAATTTAAGTTTTTAAATTTTGAAATAAAAAAAAATTTGAGTTTTAGTATTTCATTAGTGTATCCCCTATTTTAAATATAGCTTTTTACCTAGGATATTTTGATAAGTATATGTAATAGGATATGCTTCCTATTGTTTTTATTAATTTTATGCAGTAGCAGGATCAAATTCGTTTTTGCGCCTGATCTTCAATAGCGAGTATTCGTTTTCATGCGTAAACGATTCAGTTAAAAAAATTCGTTTTATTGCACCAATTGTTCAATTAAACGGGATTTTTTTAATTGATTTACCCGCTTAATTGATACAAAAAGTGTGCAACTTTTCTCGGTTCAATTAACCGGGGAGAACTGTACATACAATCGTACTTGACTCTTACCCCAAAAAGAATTCATCGTAAATTTCTATAACGAAAATTACTGTTTAAGAGAAATTTTACGGCTACATTTGAAATTCTAATTGTGTAACCTAAAAGTTTAGTCAACAAATATCCCAAATTTTATTGAACACAAAATATTTACAACTAAGATTACAGTAATCGTACGTCAAAGAACCAAAATTTATGTTACACTGCAATTTATTCATATCCCGCGAACATGAGCACATTTACAAAACCTACAAATGAACGGACAGATTAAGTATAATTGGAACTGGAATAAAGTGTAAAATGCTCTTTATGAATAACAGCACGTGGAACAAATCTTAAACATAAAAACAACGAAAGTACTTAAAGTTCTTCAAAAATTATGTTATAATTTTTTTTTTAAATTAATCTTTAAAAATTTTACAAAATTATAAAATACAAAAAATTATAAAAATTACTTAAGGGTCTTCTCTTGATTTAAATATTTAAATACAAAACGCTTTAAAAATGAAATCACATTCGCTTTCCATTAGTTTCCATAATTCTTCGTCTATAGCACTTTAGATGTGTGTAAGTGCATGCATCTCTAATGAAGCGTGACTTCTTATTTTAAATTAAAAATAATTTGTACACGACTTTTGATATCGGCATATGAAAAAAATGAAATTTTTTTGGAAGAAACTTTAGTAATCTTATAGATTATACGAAATGCAGTTTATCTTTTGTACATTTCCTTTCAAAGTCAATAGCAAAACGCTCACAAATGTGAGCGTTGATTGAATATTGAGTGAATGCTCAAAAAATTTTCACAATAAAAAGTAATTTATCTTCTAAACAACCTAATTTGTGTATTTCTCTGGACAACCTAATTTGTGTAAACTGCAACATGAACTATACGTGCTGTCCGAAATTTTCTCGTAATAACTAATTCTTGTGATAGTCATCCGCTGCATTTGAAAGTACGATTTCGAACACGTTTTTATTGAGAGTATTAGAAAGTGGTTTGAATCCCACATTTTCTATTTTATATCAAAGATAAGAATTAAACGATTAATATTTTTACGATCAAATGCTAACTACCGAATTCCTACTATAATATTTGCAATAAATAACGAGCATTGACCTCACATACTCTCAGATTATTTATTAAATTCGTTATACTGGTTCTTAAAAATTTACTTCTCTCACTTATGAGCAAAAATATTTTAATAAATGAAATTGTTAAATAAATCGTACTCTCTTGCTACAACTTAAAAATAATTCCGAGAGTAAAAATGAAACAAAAAATTCCTTTTCTTTTAAATTACATAACATAGTAATTAACCAACAACACGACATTTTATTTAATTATTTTTACGGTCATAATTAATTTTTAATGCTAAAATTTACCATTTTTCCATTTTTCCATTTATATATATATATATATATAAATATATACTCGTATGTGTGTACTTCCTATTTTATTAATTCATTTTATTTTTTTAGATGCCATTCATATGATTTTGGTGATACTGGAGATATGGTATGCCGATTAAGTCATCATAGTCGTGCCACATTATCAGATATACAAGATCCATATTTAAATGTACCAGAAGCAGCAACATATGAACTATCATCATGCTATAATGTTTCAATTGAATGCCGTGGAAATGATATGGTTGCACGTATAAGAACATCAAAATTATTCAATGGTAAAGTATATGCAAAAGGTTCACCAAAGTCATGCTCAGTTGATGTAAAAAGCTCACTTGATTTTGAGTTACGCATGGGTTATTCAGATTTAGAGTGCAATGTCCGACAGAGTGGTAGTGGACGTTATATGAATGATGTTGTTATACAACATCATAATATGATTGTAACATCATCTGATTTAGGATTAGCTGTAACATGTCAATATGATTTAACAAATAAAACAGTTGCAAATGAATTTGATTTAGGTGTTACTGGTGAAATCGAACCAGCATTATCTGAAGAAGTAATTGTTGATTCACCAAATGTTATGATGAAAATAACATCACGTGATGGTAATGATATTATGCGTTCAGCTGAAGTTGGTGATCCATTAGCATTACGTTTTGAAATATTAGATATTGAATCACCATTTGAAATATTTGTACGTGAATTAGTTGCAATGGATGGTGGTGATAATGCTGAAATAACATTAATTGATTCAAACGGTTGCCCAACAGATCATTTTATTATGGGACCAATATATAAAAGTGAACAATCTGGAAAAATTTTATTATCACATTTTGATGCATTTAAATTTCCATCATCAGAAGTTGTACAATTTAGAGCATTAGTAACACCATGTATGCCAACATGTGAACCAGTACAATGTGATCAAGAAGATGGTAGTGGTGAATTAAAATCATTAATATCATTTGGAAGAAAGAAGAGATCTTTAAATGAAACTTCTTCAATTGGTACGTACATTACATATATATATATATATACATACAAAAACAGTGTCTTGTTATAATATTATTTATATTATATATTTTTGATGGTAATTGGAGATTTATTGAACCGTATCTAGAATAATATTTCCGTTGAATAAAAATTAAATATTCATGTTCTAGATTATAAGATTTCAATTTTTCTCTGCTCTTTTATAATTTTATTTCTTTATTCTTTATTTTTGTTGCAAAATTGGTTTTTTTAACAGGAGAAATTAGAGTAAAACGTACACCAATTACTGCAACAACATCAACAGGAACAGTTGCTGGATCAAATGCTAAAACCAACCACGATGATATGCTTTTAGTACAATCCATACAAATTACTGATAAATTTGGTTTCGATAAACACAAACAATCTAAGTCTGGTGCTAATGGTAGTAGTGAAACTGTATTCATGAGCAGCAATGATGGTCATGGTTTCTGTGTTAATGCAATTGGTAAGAATAAAACAAACGGTTTATTCTACTTTTTTAATTTTTTTCTCTTTTGGTTTTGGAATAATTTTTTTTTTTCTCTTAAATTGAAAAATGTTTTAAAATTTATTGAACCATTTTATAAGTGAATTCTGTTAGCATATCTTAGTAGGTATATAAGATACATACATGTGTATGTAGTTAGTAATTATAAGAATTAGAAAAATAAATAGACTTACCTTCATTTTATTTTTTGTCTATATAATAATAAGTAATAATAGTTATAAAATAATAGTAATGATATAAATAAAATAATATGGTGAAAATATTCTGACCGGGTACAATGACGTCGAAAAATTTTCTTTCCAAACTTGTTAACCAACGAAATGAACCAAAAACCAGGTAAAAACTAATAGGTGTAGTAATTATTATTATTTGTGCATGCAACAGTAAAAATATTTTAATTTAATTTTATAAAATTAATTTTTTTGTTTTTTTTTTTTGGTTTATTTGCATAAAATTTAATAATGCGTGATAAATTGTTTTTTAAGTTACAGAAATAATTTATTAATGAATTTTTTAATGTTAATAATTTTGGAATTTTCCCAATTTATACTACTTGTATATTTTAAAATATTTTTCGACATTTTATTAAAAGGTCAATAAAATTTGGATATTGTTCATTAATTTGAAATTACTCGAATTATTGAATTAAAAATTATCTGTTATAATTATTAAAAAATAATTCGGCATTAGAAATTTTAATTTTTAAATATTGAACAGAGATTTTAAAAGGTTAAATGATTTTTATATATGATATAAAAATACAAGAATTTGTGAATAAATTGAAAAAGACCCTTAATATTTTTTACCATATTCCGTTGGTTATATCTGGTATATGCCAATTTGGTTTTCCAAAAAACGCAATTTTAAACTTCCTTATAATAAATTATCTAAAGTTAAACAGCATACTTTTTTATAAGCAGCACAATTTTCATTGTTGGTTCATAATTATTGAAAGAAAGAAGAGATTCCCAAAAAAGCTGTTTATAGCTTAGCGCTTGTATATATTTAAATATAGAATTAACCATATAAACTATATTTAAATATACACACATATATTTAAATATAATTTATATGTTTAAAAGATGGCAATAAATATTCTAGGCGGCGTACAAGATAAAATTGATAGTGATAGGGAAAAATTGACCCTTAATATGCCTTGGTTTACTTGAAACCGCGATATTATGTGATATACAACAAATTATATTTCGGCATATTTTTTATGTTCGGATGCTATGGTATTTACCGTTTGCATTATGCATTTAAAGAAATTTGGTAGAGCTTGCAATTTTTGGAAATATTACAAATTTCGAGCGAGCAGTAACTTGGAAGGAAGTACAGATGGAAAAAAAATATTCTTCTACCGGAATAAAAATATTTATTAATATCTAAAAGTTGTTAAAGTTCTAGAATCATAGTCTAAAAGAGAAACGGCAACAAAAATTAGAAGAAGCGAACAACGGACAGCTGGATAGACTAAAACTAATAAGCTCTTAAAAAAAATTTTTTTTTCGGAAAAATGCTAAAAATTAAAAAATTTTTGATTATTATTAAGTACTTAGGGGAATAAATTAATTGCGACCCTTTCCATAACATTAAATGTTATTTACAAAAAAAAAGAAATAATTTTACGATAATTCCATAAAAACTTACGATAAACATTAAATACACATTTAAAGTATAAAATGATTTTCATACAAAATAATTTTATAATGAAAATAACAACTAAAATTATTAAAATTTTTAATTCTCAAAAATTTTTCTATTTTTAGGTTTAATTATTGCTAGTACAATCTTTTTATTAGCACAATTAGCTGTTATTGCAATATGGACTTATTTATATCAACGTCGACGCAAAAGTATCGATGCAAATGAAAGTTCAAGTTTTGGTAGTGGGAATGCATCAACAGCAGCTTTAGCAGCTGCAGCAGCAGCACATCATCATCATCATCATCATCATCATGCTAATTCTAGTAATTTATCAACATCATCAAATTTATCTGAACCATTAAGTAAACTATATGAAGGTGGATTTTCAAGTAGACATTCTCATCAATTTTAAAAATTATTAATGAAATTTTTTCTTTTTCCATTTTGTGAAAAATGAAAATTGATAAAGGGAAACAGAGAAAAGTAAAGAAAACAAAATACAAAAAAAGTAATTTAACAAAAATGTTTTTTTTTTTTACTTTTAAATAACAAAAAAAAAAAAACAAAATTGTTTGTTCAGTGTAATTTACGTAAAATTATTAGTTTTTTTTTCACATCATAAATAAAATTGAAAACTGTATTTAAAATGGAATAAAAAGCATTGAAAATTTAGTTAAGAAAATGCAAAAAACACAAACCATTCCTAATTGCAAAAATATCAGAATTTTAAATATTTTGTATACAAGATAATAATTAGCCTCAGGCCCATACAAACACATTATTCTTCGGCAATTTTAATTTTTTTTTTTTTTGTTCGACAAATTTTGTTCTTTTTTTATAGACCGTACTACAGAAAAAAAGAATCTCTGCAAATGCTTGTCTGCATGTTTTTTTTTTTCTAGTTTGTTTAAGCCTCAACTTCATAACATTTATCACAAAATGTTCGAATATTTACCACAAATTTTCATTAAAAGGCTTAAAATTACAAATTTTTGCAATCAAAATAAAGTTATTTATTTAAAAAAACAAGTTAAAATTGCCTATAATAAAAAAGTTCATTTAGAAAAATGTTGATTATTTCATAATTGACAGATTCCAAGAAATTTTTAAAAATTTAATTTGCATATTTGAAAAAAAAATGTGAATTTTTTCAAATATGCAAATTAAATTTTTAAGCAATTAAATAAATTTCCAATTAAATAATAAAATAAATTCGAAATTCTAGTGAACAATTAGAATCATCTTGGAGTAAAACCTTATACTTTCAAATTTTTTATTCCATTTTAATCAAATTTTATAAATTTAATTACTTCCAGTGTATTTATAATATTCTAAAATTGTGGTGCAATAAAAACACTTCTGAACCAGAATTAATAAAAAATATTATGAATTATTTTAGAAGTTTTTTTACATAGCGCCAAAATTTAATTAGATTTTTCCACAAAATTTTTTACATTTTAATTTTAATGTTAATTATTTAATATATTTTACAATTTACACACTATAATATAAATATACTATTAAATAGAATTTAAAAATATAATGAAATAAATAAATAATATTTTCAAAATTAAAATTCATTAAAAAATAATTAATGAGGGCGCTGCAATAATTACTGATTTTAATTGAAAATATAAAATAAAAAAAAAATTAATAATAAAAATGAATATTTTGTATTGATTAATAATTATTATTATTATTAGTAATTAGAAATAATAATTGTCTTTAAGAATAGGAAATTAAAAAAAATACATTTAATTCATTTAAACCCTTTAAAATATATCAGAAAAATTACAAAAAAAAAAAATGTTATTATATAGGTAAAAATTATCATTTATATAGATTTAATAAAACAATCATTAAAATTTTGCATTTAAAAAATAAAAAATTGTTAACAATAAATTAGTTGTCAAATTAATGACAGAAAAATTCTAATTCAACGCGATAAAATGAGAATTTTCTAAATTGATTTTCTTAAAAGTCTTTTACTTCCATACTTGCAAATTTGCAGAAACTGAATATATTTTACATTTGCAGATTTAATAACACACTTGAATAAATGTTTAGTATCCAAAATTTTTTCTATTGCGCTCTTCTTCCAAATTTTCACAGTACTCATAAAAAAAATTAAACAAAAATTTAGAAGTTTGAGCATTTTTGAATATGCTATTTAATATTTTTGCAAGATTTTGCAGTTTAGAACCCATGTTCTATTCAATTAGAACTGAATTATCGAAAATTTCTCATGCTATACTTGTTTTACGGAAAAAAACTAATTGATTTTTACAGCAATCAAAATTAACTAATTAAAAATATTTTTAAAAATAAAAATTTAATTAGAATTTATTTATGAAAAACATAAGGTGTTATCGATAATGTTAAATGCGTTGTTGCATTTTTTGTTACTTTCAAAATTGTCAACAGAATGTTTACATTTGCAGTGTAGTACCAATAATTCAAAAACCAAATATAACATAATTAATAAAATTTTATAATAAAAAATTACTGAAATTTGATTTTGTTTTTTGTGCAAAATACAAAATTTTAATTATTGGAAATTTTAATTTGATTTAATTAAATTTATTTGTAAAATTATTCAAACCAAAAATAATTTATTGCTAAAGCGATTGTCAACAAGAATTGTATACGAAATTAGATATGCAAAAAAAATTTTTAGCATAAATTGTTGATTGCCAAATTGTTGACCTCATAGATGCAATTGTTGTCGCATTTGACATTATCGATTACACCAATATTTTATTAAAAAAGAAATTATGAATCAAAAAAAAGTGTTAAACTCACATAATCATTTCTACATTACAAAATTTCATTTGTTTTTTAATATTTATACCAATAAAATTAATTAATAAAAAATGTATTCGAAAAGAAAATTAAAGTTAAAAAAAAAAACAATTAGAAAAAATATTTTTGTGCTCCTAAATAATAAATTAAATATTGTTAATTCTTAAGGTGTCCACGAGAATGCAGAATTAATGTCAATTTGATTTATTCAACAATTGAATTTGTGTTGCTCATTAAATCACATATAGGCATTGGATATGCATTTTGGTAGATGACCTTATACTTATAGTTTAGTTATAAAATATAAAAATTAAGAAATCATTAAAAAAAATTCAATTTAGAAAAAAGGATGACTGAGCACAACGAATTTAAACCAACTATTTTATTTATTTATTAAAACTCTTTAAATTTGCTATTTATAATTTATATTTAATTTATAAACCTTAGTGATTAATTAACTTTCTTATTCCCGGTTATATTTCTTATATATAACACATATATATAAGAATAATAAATACCATATACGAGATACTCTAATCTAAATCTATTTTATGAATTAAAAAAAAAAAAATAAATCACTTATCCTTTTTTCTAGATTTGAAATTGAAAAAATCTATATATAACAATTTTCAATTTGTTAAATGCACACATTTAACTTTTCATTATTACTCAAATACAAAAATTATAAAAAATGTAGTTAATAATAATTTTGAAATTAAATTAAATTAAAAAACAAAATATATTTTCATAATAATAAAAATATGTAATATTTATTTAAAATTAATAAGAGAAAGATGAAATGTCTTAAATTTAAAAAATTAAAATTTATTATAAATATTTATGAATAAATTAAAAATTAAGTTAATATTATTTGTCTTTTTGTATTAATATTAATATTAAATTATGTTTAAATTATAATTTAATTGTATTTTACTTATTATTATTATTATTTTTTTTTATAATATATAAAACTGAATTCAATTACTTATGAATAAATAAAATATGCATTTCATTTAATATAATAATTAAAATAATTTTTTGTTATTTTTTTTTTTTTGTAATCATAATATAATTATTAATTTTAGCTTAATTATAACAATTTTTGAAAAACTCTTATAAATTACCATAATGATATTTAACGCGATTCAATATTTAATATAATATGTGTCCGTGACTTCAATAATGCGCTTGCGACATAAACTTTGCAATGCATCACATTCCAAAAAGTTTAGTAAAAGCACTTGACATTGTGTACTTTTCCTAAATGCGTTCTATACGTAGTGGATACGTAAAATAAAAGTAAATTGGGTATCGAAAAAATCGAGTCCTCTTTTCTTAAACATGTCATATAAATGTTGCCAGAAATAATTCAATTAAATAAACTGGCATATACTTTCAGAAATAAAGTGCTAGTTATTAAGTTTTTTTCCTAAAATGCAGCATAGGAATGTTATGGTTTTAAAGATGTGGTATTTGTTGAAAATTAACATTTAGACAGAACTTTAAATTGAAATTTTCAAACAAACGTCAAAGTATGTATTAATATTGTAAAAATCGTATTCCAAAATGTATCAAAAGCTTTAGCAGTTTTTTTTACAATGTAAAGGTATTGAAAGCTCTGAGACGGTACTATTACGGTATTAAAACTGTACTTAAACTTTTTATAAAGCATTATTAAAGTCACGGTGAATTCCAAATCGAAAATGGTATAGCCTGAAATGAAAGAAAGTAGAACCCCCATAGTTGATATTTTATAATAAAATTACCTATATTATAATCGACCAATCGAATAACTAGGCGATTCAAATGGACTAAGCGAATCGAATGACATTTTAAATTATGATCAGGGAATGCTTTAATTTGCTAGATCCAAAATGTTGCTACAGCAAGACATCAAAAAACCTACCAAAAATAATTTGGTTAATACCACACATACATATGTACATTATTTTTGCTTTTTTGCAAAAGCAATTGAATTTTATTATCCCTTAAGCAATGTCGGGGCTGTTCTCCATTAATTTATTTAAATGATCGAATTGTTTTTGGTTCACCTTTTTCATACGCTTAAATCAATATTAAACAATCAATATTTTTTACAATAACTTAGATTTTTCCAATAAAACAAAAGAACACCACTCATGTATTATTTTGATTTTTGGTTTCATTCGCCAAGCTTGTCACACAGAGTTTTCATTCGACAGATTTAACAGCTCATTCGTCTAAAATTTAGGCGATTCGTTAATCATAATACCAAAAAATTCATATTTGCCAAAAATTTCATTTACTTCGCCGATCATAATAAGGGTCATAATAAGTGTATCCCAAATCGAAAATGATATGGTCTTAAATGAAAGGAAGCAGGAATCATATTTTGTAAAAACTTTTAATGTTCTTCCAACATTCTTACAGAAGAATGAATTTTTTATTCAAGTTTCTTTTCAACAATTAGTAAGAATACTATTGTGGAGCTAAAAGACTTTCACAGAAAAATTTTTTGAACTAAGTTAACTTACAATCAATAAGAAAATGTATTCGGTCTGGGCCTTTTCGAAATTTCAATTTTAATGTAAACTTGCATTGTAGCATTATTTCAAAATTATGTTCATATAAATTCTATGTACACCTTACATAGAATTTAATACTCTAACAGGTTCTTTTAAATTTATATGAAATAATAGAAAAAAAAGTATTTGAACTTGGAATATAGAAAAACTTAATCGCAGACTAGATTACAAACTTTATGTTTCCAATTTATTTGAAACTGTTGTATAGACTTGTTACACTAGTTTGGTAAACTGTAAAAACTGCAATAAAGAAATATCGCTTGTTAGCTGCAACACTCACATAATTTAAAATTTGCACCTTCGAGAAAAGCAAAATTTAAAATGTTTTGAACTCAAAATATTTTTCCCGCATTATTTTTTTTAAATGTATTGTAAGCGACTATACTTTCAAACTAGAGAAATGGTGTTTTTGCATGGCTTGAAAGAATTGTTTCAAACATGAATAACTCCAGAAATCACATTTTTTTATGATATTCCACTGTTGTAGCAAATAATCGATATACATCTTAATTATTTAAACGTCTTAAATTTTTTAAAACACTCAGTTTAACGCAAATTTTACACTTCTATAATGATTCAATTTGATAATTATTATTGAAAAATATGTCCAAATCCGATGTATTTAAAGAAAGACTCAAATTTTATTGATTATTTACTCCAAAACGCCTTGTGTGTTGGAATGAATGCATAAGATTTTCCTTAATTTTATTTCACATCCCTATAAAAAATCAAAAATAAATAAAAATTATTAAAAAATATTTTTTGTTTTTTTTTTTTACAAAAAAATATATATATATTTTCTTCCACATTTATGTTATAACAAAATTATTTATAAATTATAATTAAAAAAATAAAATAATAATAATATTTTAATGGAGGTATTACAATAAACGCATATGCTTTGAAATGAAAGCCAATTTTTTTTTCAAAAAAAAGGTAAAGAAAAAAAACTTAAAAAATACTTTTATTTTTTATTTTTTTTTTGTTAAATAATTCTTTTGTGTTCATTTTTTATTGTTTATAATTAGTTAATTAGTAATAAAATATCGCTATAATATCTTATAAAAATTATTAAAATTTTTATTTTTCTTATAAAATTAGTTTTTGTTTGAAAGATGAAATTTTTTTTTCGTTTTACGAAATATTAAAAAGAATATTGTTTTATATAAATTGATTGAGTAATTGTTTACAATAAGTTTTTTTTTCCATAAGGATATTCAATTTAAAAAAAAAGATTTTCGTTTTCTCTTTACGATATTATTAAATAACCATATATTTGATGAAATAATTCGAATCAATAAACAATACTAGAAGTACATATCTCATACAAATTTTCAATTACTCGATAGTTCAACTAATTCATTTTTATAGTTTCTGATGTCTCTATTATGTTTGTTGAACACTTTCTGGTGATTCAAATGTTTATTTCTTTTAATAATAATTAAATTTGCTTAAAACAAAATATTCACAAAATTCTATTTTTAACATGGAAGTTACATGTCTTTTTTTCTTAAAAAAAAAAATTTTATTATAAAAATCAAAAATATTCAATTTATAAATTTATGCAACATAAAATTCATGAAATTTAGCCAAAGCAAGCACACTTACATTTAATATTTTACATAATTATTTTAATTTTAAATTGCATGGCACAAATATTTTTATAAATTCGGTAAAATAATTAAAACTATTTCTATGGTGTTTATGTATGTGTTTCTGACATCGCATGAATATCCTTTTAATTCTAAAGATAATTAGAAAAACATGAAACAATTTTAAATTTTTTTTTTTATATTATTGCGTAAAAATTTAAGTTTTTCACTTAAAATACAAAAAAAAAAAAAAAAAAGAGGCATTAAAAAAATGTTTTTGTTTTTTTATTAATTTTAGTTTTGCTTAATTTATTTATTTAATTTTTTTTTTAGTATATAGCGTATGTATATAATGTGTGTATATTAAATAAGAATTTTATTTTTTTTTCTTATTTGGTTTAACGTTGGGGTTTTTATGTTTTCTTTTTTTTATTTTTTTGTGTTTTTTTTTTTTTGTTCTTGTAATCCTTATAAGTGTAGTAAATTAACTTATGTACGAAATATATAATAAATTCATATACATATATATATATTAATAATATTATTAAAAAGTATATAACAATAATTAATGAAAAATTTTTTTTTTTTTAATAATTGCTAACTACGCATAATGTATGTATAAATAAAACAAAATTTTATAATATCGCATATTTAAATATGAAATTCTTTAATTTTTGATTAGCTCGATAGAAAGTCAATTTTTTTGTTTTTTTTTTTTTTTTAAATTACATTTTGGCAATAATATTCATAAAGTTGATAATTTTTTTAAATCAGAAAGATTCAGACACAAGTAACTTATTTGATTAAGACAATAAAATCCAATATCAGAATTCTATCCAAATTCGATCCGAATTGTATAGAATTTTTAATTTTAATTTGCAAATATAAGATGCTAAATGTGAATGAAATTAAACTATTTCAAATTTATAACATATTTAAATAATATTTGAGTATTTAATATATTTATTATATCGAGTGAAATTATAAAATTTTAATTATAATTGAATTATTTAAAATTTATAATTTAATTACAATATTTTTTTGCTGACAAATTAAGTACTAAAGATTATCGTATATAAAAATTTCAATTCAATAGAATTTATTAATTTAGTTCTAGATTAATATAGAACTTAAGCATGCAAAAATAAAAAATTATAAAATAAAGAATGCTATATTACAACTATTTTATCATCTTGCTTAGAGAATTGATCTAGAAATAAAATAAATTCAACTTTATGAATATAAAAAATTTTAATCTTCTTATTATAAAAATTCAATCGAGTTGTAATCAATAATATTTTCTCTTTCAATGGAAATTATTTAAAAAAAAAAATCCTATCATCTATAGCATTTTCGGTTTATATAATATATTTTTGTTTTTTTTTCATTTAATCCTAGTAGTTTTTGGTACAGGATAGGACATAGTAAATTTAAGCCTAAAAATAAAATATTTTAATTAAATAAATTTTTAATTATAATAAATTTTTTTTTTTTAATCTTACCAATACAATACATTATCTATCTATAAAATATTTGAAATTTAACATCAAAGTCGAACATTGAAGAACATCACATTTTTGTATATTTTTCTTCTAAGTTATTTATTTAAAAAAAAAAAGCTTTGTTTTTTTTTTTTTTGTAATATTTATGGTAAAATATTTCTGCGAATTTATTTCTATCCATCAGACCAAACAATACATTTTTTTCCTTTGCCAACTGTTGCTAAAACTGAACTGTTTGAGTGCCAACTGACAGCATTTACAGCACAACTAAGAAAGAAAAAATTTCGGTACCGGCTTTATCAGAAAATTTTTTTGATTACATCAGAATTTTTTTTTTTTTTTTTTATAAATGATTTTTGATTTTTTATTCATTTAGGAATTATGGTAAGGCATGAAAAAAAAAGCAAATGAAAAGCAAAAAATAAAAAATAAAAATATAAAGCAAAAGAAAAGCAAAAAATAAAAGTAAATAAAAAAATAAAGTAGAAAAACTTAAAAAAAAAAAATGAAAAATGAAGATCATTTTAAAATATTTTAATAGATTTACATATAAATATAATTTTAGGTTATGTAAGATGAGACAGGAACAACCGAATGAATAGTAGAAATTCATAGAGGTATTACTTCTCATGACAATGTCAACAGATCTCTTGCGTAGAGTTCTTTTGTGTTAGATTTATAACGGTGTTAGATATAGACTCAAGTGTATGTTTTTGATCAGCGTCAAATTCTGAGTTGATTTAGCTTTGTCTGTCCGTCCGAACGATAACTCAAAAACTAATTGAGCTAAGTTCACCAAACAAATGATTTATTGTAGTAAGTGCCAGAACCCTATTTAAACTGGACGTGATCGGGGTACCGGTTCGGGTAGCTGCCATACAACTTCAAAATTTATTTAACTATATCTCAGAAACTATAAAAGTTGTGGTATTGAAATTTCACACAAACGAATATATTAGTAGGGCCAATGTGTCACATAAAAGTCGTTGAAATTACTTGGCTCCTTCTGGTACCTGCCATACAACTTCAAAAGTTATTTGACTATATTTCAGAAACTATAAAAGCGTTATCACAGAGTTGACAAGGTCAACTCTATTTTTTTCTCGTTTTTTTACTAATTTTAATCTTATAATTTTGGGATTTATTTCAGGGTCTTAGGAGCTTATGAATTTTTAACGTTTCAAAAAATAAAAAAAGTAAAATTCAATAAGAATTTATACTCTTCCTTTCTTTTAATAGCTCTAATACAGGCATCAAAATATATATAACTTACGGTATATGACCTTCTAAACGTGCTTCAAAATCACCCTTATCATTCCATACGAAAATTGACCCATCTGATGAACCAGCTGCTATTCTATTACTATTGCAATTGTATGCGACTCTAGCCCAATCACAACTCATTTTGAAATTATCGTGTCTAAAAGAGATCAAAGGTTAACTTTAAAAGGTCTTATTAAAGGAGAATAAAAATTGGTTTTAAATCTTACGAGCAACTTCCAATAATTTGATTGGTTCGTAAATCTAATATCCTTATGGTATCATCCCTAACACCACAAATTAAATATTTATGATCTTTGGATAAATCTAATGATGTTATTCTAGCTGGCATTACTATTTCATTTGCTGTATGATCAGCACGAGTATCCCAAAAACGTAATTTTTTATCAAAATGACCACTGATTATCGTTGAACCTAAACTATCGATTGTTACTAAATCATTACAACTAGAACCAGCAAATTTTGTTTCAACACATGCAACAGTACGTAAATCCCATAATTTCAAAGTTCTATCGTGACTACCAGTAATAGCTTTTGATGGTTCTTGTAAAAATTTTGCTGCCATTACTTTTGCCGAATGACCAGTTAATGTAGTCTATAAAACATAAAACATATGTATTCAAACTTGGTTATTGTATTAAAATTAAACAATACCCGAACACGTTGATCTTGAATTGTCCATAATCTGGTAGCATGATCATTTGATGCACCTAGTACTATAGATCCAGTTGAATCAAATTCTATTGAATTGACTGCAGCATTGCAACCGCTTAAAACTCCACGAGACTCTGCCATTCCTGAAATCACTAAATATAAAAAAAAATTTAAAATATATAGAAAATAATTTTGTACTAACTTTTTCCAACATCCCATAATTTAATTTTTCTATCTGCAGCACCTGTTGCTAAAATTAAACCAACTGGGCTCCATCGAACTGCATTTATTTCGCCATCATGTGCATCCTAAATTTTTTTTTTTAAAAAAATTTATTCAATTTATTTATTTATTTTATTTAACTTACAAATTCTAAAAGAATATTTGTAGGAATTGAATCACTATAACAGCCAGTCATTGTTGCTGGTATACCAACAGATATATTTTCATCACATATACTATCACCAATACCATCAATTACAAAATTTCTAGGACCAACTCCAAGACCGCCACCAATACCGCATATACTACCGCTACGAGTTGGAACTGGACTAATGGAATTATTTCTGCTTGTTTCACGTACGGCATCCTCGAGATCTCTTTTGACTTTATCGGAACGCTTTCTGTGGAAGAATGACGGAAATCTATTGTTTTTCAGATTTAATGAATATATTACGACAAATTAAGCGCAAATTATAAAGCCGTTAGTATTAGATAAAAATGAATCATGAATAATGTTTTATATTAGAATTTCAATTCGAGGGATTGAAAATAATGAAAAATTTTTACAATGAGAAAAAAATTATTTTTTTTTAAAGGAATAGAAAATTAGTAAGCAAGCGTTAGACATGCCAAAACCATAGCACAAATATTTAAAAATGTGAAATTAAGAAAGAATTAGTGAAAATTAGTTAAAGACAAATTGTTGTCAAATTAAAAAATCGTTTTTATGGGTTTGTAATAAAAAATTTTTCTGTTTAAAATGTACTGTTAATTTTCGAAGTAAAAATTCGAAATTCGAAAAATTCGAATAAATTTTAAAATTATTGGAGCAAGAAACATAATTTGAATTACCAGTACGGAACCATTCTTTTAATATCCTAGTTAATAAGCGGTAATTTAAAAAATTCAGGCAATAAATTAAAAAATTTAAAAATATTTTGAATTTCTTAAAAATCTAAAAAATAAACCTCTTCGCATTTTCAGTAAACTTAAACAATATGCGGCTTTTATAAAATATATTAAAAATTATTTTTACGTTATTGAAATTGCTAAATGCGTAGGAAGCGCGTAGGAGAGCTCGTCACATATGCATCTTTTATTTAAAAAATATTAAAGAATTCGATAAAATAACATTATGTGTGTACGTATTTTAGTCGGCAAAAGGTATATTTAACATACAAAATTTAATAATTTTAATCGAACTCATTTAATAAAGAATTACTTGTGAACAAATTTTAGAATATGCTGCAGGCTCTCAACAAAACCTTTTTTATTTTTGAACAAAATTATAACGATTTTGAAATTTTTGAAAATCCAACAATTATTGGAAATATCGTGATTTAATATGAATGATTTAAGACTGCATTCAATAATATTTATAATTTCATTACTTACTTTAGGAAGCTTTCATTTTCACGATTTAATTCTTCGGCATCTTTTGATTTAAATTTTAATATTCGATCAACTAATGCACGGTTTTCATTCTGAAAATTAAAAAAAAATATATATTTAATTAAATAAATAAATTTAAAATTAATATTTTTAAAAAAATTATACAATAATCAGAAGAAAAGGAGCACAACCTTTTTCAAATCTGAGTTTTCATCATTTTTTTTAATAAAATTGGATTTTAATTTTTTTAGCATTTTGTATGCGCTATAACGTCTTCACTTGCACATAGAAATGAAATCAATATTCACCAATATAAAAAAAAAATACTTTATGAATTAAAATTATTCTTAAATAGATATGCAAAAACGCAAAAAAATAAAAAAAAATAAAACAGAATAAAATTTATAATTTTAGGTTGGTTCGAATATTTTATTTGAAAATTTTATACAAAGCGCATAGCATTAATTTTCCATTAAAAAAAAAAACAAATTGTTCCGACAGCTAAATTTCGGATCAAATATCGGAAATGAAAAAATTAAAATATATTAAATTTCCATTCAATTTGTCAATAACAAAAATATATCAGAACAGAATTTATATTGAAAATGGTTCGGAACTTGGTCCATACTACTTTAAAAGTATATTGAACAAAGTGGAGGCGTACTCAAGCATTTTGTTTTCGAAATAATCATAAATTTACAGTTATTTATGCTATACTTATGATGTTTCTTTATATTTGACCGGAAATTGTTCTATTTGCTTTTTATTCTTGTTTCCAAATTTTAATAATTTTTAAAAAAAATTTTAAGAACTAATATATCAGTTATGAATTCAAGATTTAGATGTATATATGTATATTCCAAATGTTAAAAGTTCTTACAGTCAATATGCACATTATTACTGATCCCAAGACACGGAATAGCCATGGGTCTAAAAGCTGTTTGCCATAATACTTTTTATCAAATTTTGGAGCTACTTCAATGATAGTATAAAGAAAATAAAAATGTACTACCACAAAATACCAGACAAAACCGATACCCTTGGTACCCTTTTCCTAAATTTTGAATAATAAATTTTGAGTAATAAATATTTTACAAAATAATTAAAGAATAATTATAATATCTTTTTAAAATAAATAATTTTATTTTCGCGATAAAGTAATCCACTCTAATTGAATTTTCAGTAAGTAAAAAAAAACATAAAGAAAAATAAATAAATGTAAATTCTATTAATAAAAAAATTTAAAAGGATTCTACATCATTAACAAACAAAGCTGTCATAATATAAATATTTGTTCCAAATGTAAAATTCAACAAAATTGTTTAAAAATCAAAAGCTCTTTAAAAGCAATTACTGTCCAATAAACTCAATTTATGAGTGAAATGAATATATTTTTTTTTTTATTTTGCTTTCTTTCCTTTTTGTTATTTTCAGTGTTTTTATTCCTCCAACACTCTTGTTTTTCTTTTTCAATTTTAATTTTTCATTATTTTTTTTTAGCCTTGAATTTTTAACTTTAAAAGTAAAAATTCTATTTTTATTACATTCGATTATTTTATTTTTAATTTTTTATTTTTTTTTTTTTCATTACAATATTAATTTTCAGTTTAATTTTTATGAAAAATTCAATTTAACAACAAAACTGTTATAATGATTTTCATTTTTTATATACATGTATATATGTACAAATGTATGTATGAATGTACATAATATAATTTACAAAAAATATAAAAAATAAATTCTATTTTTGAAATTTTTATATTTCTACAAAAATTATTTCATCTCTGAAATAATTTGGTTTCTCTTTTTGTTATTTTTTAATTACAATAACAATAATAATAATATTAATGTTGTAATTAAATAATTATTTTAAAAATTATTAATTTTATAAACAAATAAATTTTATTCAATTTATATTAAATATAAATTTTTTTATAAAAAGTTTTATACAAAATTATAGTCTGTGATACTCGTATGAACTTTTTATCCTATGGGTAAACAAATATGTCAAAGCTGAACATGAGACAGACTATAATTTTAATTACGCTGGTCTTATTTTACAAAAAAAAAAAAATGAAATTAATTATCTGTGTTCGCCAATTTATTCGAGCAATAAGGAAGAAAAATCACGGAGTGGCGAATTTAAAACTACCCTTCGAATATTTTTCGCACAAGTATAAAACACAAGTAAAAATATTTCAATAAATCTATGATAAGGAAATTTATTGCGATCTTGCATAAAATAATTGCAATCTGAAAGAATATTATCAAAAATTAAAAATTTCAAAGTCCCCGAAATTCAGAAGAATTGAGTACTGAAAACCCAACTTAATTAATCATAAAAAATTACTCCTCTTCTTAATTTGATCAAATTTTAAGAAATATTTAGCACATACTCTTTATGCAAAAATAGAATTTCAAAAGATGAATTGTGTGGCCCCCTAATATAATTTTATATCCTATAAATACAAACACATACTTTACAAAAATACACTATACTATTTAACACAATTTAAAATTTGGCAAAGAAAAAGAACAAAGCTATAAAATATGAGGTCGTTAATAAAAAAACATTATTGATTTAATGTTCACATATACATATTTAATTCTAAATAAAACAATAAAAAAAAACATAACTGATCTAGGACAAATATGATGTCAGGATCCCTTAATCGCATAATAACAATAATAATTACATATACTTTATATTAAATATTCAAAAAATAAGTATTGAACTTAAAACACTCTCTATACGTTGTATACTACTTTTAAAAGTTTATTATAAAACGCCAACAAATTATCGAAGAAAAATTTGGCAATGTTTCATAAACTAAATCGGCAGTAAATTTTAATGATTTAACAATATGAACACAATATAGTATAAATAAACAAATTTTCAAAAATCAGATTAAATAAAAAATCTTTAATTAAATAAATTTCTCAGCATTTTGAATTAGTAATTCAATTAATAAGATTCAATTCAAAAAAAATTCAATTAATAAGATATTGAACTTATTTGAGATCAAAGGAACCGTCTATTTTTTAATTAAACGCTGTTTATAACAAAGATTTACTCAATCTTTACTCACTCTAATGAAAATTTATTTACTCACACTACTGAAATTATACATAATACAAAACAATTTATTGTTATGCTAGAAAAGAAACATAAAATTCTATTATTTTTGAATTCTGATAATTATATTGTAGGTCCGAAGAAAAAATTTCTTCCACATAAGATTACTCTTAATCTTGAGATTTAAAGAATAATTTTTCAGGAGTGCATTGAAAAAAAATCAATAGTATGATCTTATATATGAATTTTTCTCATGAAAATTAGTATAACACTTTAATTCAAATTCCGATTTTAATAGATAAATACTTTTAAGTATTCAATTCTTAAAACTTTATTCGAAAATAATTTGGAAATTAAGTATTTGCCTTGATCTATTTATGTATGTATTTATGAATTTAAGTATTCCACTAAACAAAATACTCTTACTAGACAAATATGTTTACTGTACATATTTTATCAAATTTGCATATGTCCTATTAAAAATATATTTCTAATCATATCATTTGCATATTGAAATTATGAAATTACTTTCATATACCCTCCACCCCCCACCCAATTACCATTAAACCACATTATGTTCCAATCATTTCAATACTTTTTTTTTTGCTAATATTCGTTCAATATAATTTTATGGTTATGAACAATACATGACCAATAAAGTGTTTTTAAATTTGAATAAATGCCAATATTTAAAATAATTTAAATTTTTCAGTTTTACATATTATTTTACGTATTCAGTAATACGCAAGAATTCTTGAATATAAGGTGACCGATTCTAATAGTTCAACACAATCGGAATGACGATAATAAATAAACATCTCCAAGTTTCCATTTTATAAATGGAAATTTTTTACACTTTAAGAGTTAGATCATTGTAGTTAGATATTTGTTTTTAATTGCAGATTTCTAGTGCGTTCATTAGTATTTGTAAATTTTTATTTAGTTTGAATCTTTTAGTTGTATATTTTAGTTAAACAAGAGCAATTTCAATGAAAAAGGTGTCATAAAATTCATTTCTGCAAGGTTAATTTGTAATTAGATATAATGAGTTTAACAAAACAAGTAAATAAAAAAAAAAATTTAAAAAATCATAAAATTTGGAATCTATTTGTTTTTTTGTGTGCTCAATAATTTTCAACAGCTGTAAAATTATGTATTTCCGTTTTGTTTTATTACAAAATTTTTTAATTGCGTGATAAAAATAAATTGTTTTCATTTTTTAAAACATCAGCAAGTTGAAATCGTTTAATTAATTTTTTAATTTTACTCGACATAATTTTTTATCCCCATTTAATTAAAAATTGAATTTGTTCGAATTTAAATTTTCTAGGAACGAATTGGTAACTACACAACTTTGGTTGAATATTTACAGCTTTCACCATACAACCATAATGGTTGAATCAATTTTGATAAAATAAGATTAACAACTATAAGTTAATTTGCAAACCAAGAATTAAATTTCAAACTACATAAGATTCGAAATCAATTAAAATTTACGAACAAATCGTTTGCAAAATACAAATTTACAATTCTGCTGTAAAACATCAATTGAAATCTCAAAAATTATTTATGATCTGGAGCATATCATATGGTACATTGTACAATATGATATGCAGCTTTTGTATTAGCTTAACAAAAATATGTAAATATGAAGAACTTACTTGTGTACTTCTTAATTTCTCCTCTAATGCACTAAAAGCTAATTGTAAAGCAGTATGTTCATCTCTTAAAATAGCATTTAAACTTTTTAATTCTTCTAAACTACTTTTGAGCATTTGAACTTCAGCTTTTAAACTATTATTTTTTTCAGTCTGTTCTTTAAGGCTAGAAAAAATATAAAAAACTTTTACAATTAATTCTGTTAAGTTTATTTGTACATTATTGTAATAACCTTTCCTCCTTCTCTTTAATTATTCTGTCTTGTTTATCAACACGCTGTGCATTTTTTCCATTCATACGATGAAGCTCTACTAATTCTTCCTGCTGATTAAGAAGTTTCTAAAAGTAAAAATATAATATTGATGATATGCTTACTCATATTATAAATCTTTGAATTAAAGAGACAGACAAACAGAAAATGAAAATTTAAAAATTGAGATTTCGAAGCATTTCACTTTCTTATCAAAAAGGTTTTTTTCTTTTCTTTTTCTTTTTTGTTTTGATATTGGGATTATAATTCATGAGTGAAAGATAGCTCGTTTATAATATATGTAAGTAGATGCATACATATACATACTATCTCCACATTTAGTTTATTTGTATAGTTAGCTATTTGCATATAAATTGAATGCAACATAAAGAGAAAACTATTGATGATGTAAATATTCGCATAATTTTTATCGGCACGTCATCTTAAAATTATTGAATACACACAGTTCTAAGGATGTGCAAAACAAAATAAATTCTAAATATCAAAATGCTTTAAAACTCATACATAATTTATGAAAATGTATAGAACATTTTAAAACTAGACATAGATCAATTAAGACCATTATTAATTAAACTAATGATAAACTAAAATTACCTTTTCTAGTGCTGCTATTTGAAGATTTGTTTTTGAAGATGAACCAGCTGCCCCTAAAATTAAACAATTAAGTGTTCAATATAATAACAAAATAGTTATAAAATACCTTCGGGCATCATTCTTAATTGTTCATTCTCTACAGATATTTTTAGATAATCATTCTTAAGTTGTGATACAGAATCCAATAACCTATTGTCTGAAATATAAAAGTTTGAGTTATTTTTTTTATTGTTGTTTTCTTCTTAATAATACGTACTTTGGCCGATTATTTCTTTATAAGCTGCTGATTGTTTATTTCTTTCTCGAAGTCTTGAAATATTTGCACGTTTCCATTCCATTTTAAAATATTAAATACAAAACTTATATAGTATATTTCTTTTTAATTTATTTAGTACGGATATTTCACCGTCAAAAGATATTTTTACTTGTAAAGTTGTAACTAAAATATAATACAAAATGTCAAAGTCGAGGCAACAATAAATTTTCGAGAATCGAAATAGTAAAAATTATGCATGAAACTCTGACTCTGGTTTTTAATAACGACCAAAACAGAAATTATGCACTTAAAAATTCTCAAATTACAGTCTAAGCTCTATGAAAAATTTTTTTCGAGCACGAACAGTCCAATCTGAGCATATTTTGATTATGAAAAACAAACAGAGACACGGATAATTATAAATCTTCTGATGTGAAAAACTAACACGGACCTATTTTTTGACAGATCTGAATTTGTTCTAAAAATATAAGAAACGAAAAGGCTTAATAAAGACTGTAATCGACAAATTAGTTGAATTGCACGACATTTAGTTAAATTTTAATTCCTGACATTCATTTAATTATTAATTCCATTTGTTTTTTAAAGTTAGGTTGGTCAATCCCCATCTCAACTTTCTGAAAACAATTATTTACAAAAACAACACCAATAAAATGCTTTTACGCTGTCAAATAAATGAAATAACAGATTTGATATCACGCCACAACACCACACCATATTAAAATACGCCACGCCATAAAAAATATTAAATTCTCGTGGCTAATCATAAAATAATGTCACGTGTCAAATTTTGTCAAAAACATAATATTTTTTGGTGGAAAAAGTACGTTCATGAGACTAAGTATGTACATTATTTTGTATAAAAATTAAAATTTAATTCTTTTTTATACAAAATAGGGCCATTAAATAATTGTACACTCAAAAATTACAACTAGTAAAATTTACTTAAAAAAAATATTCATTTTTGAAATGCATCTAACGCTGCGCCTTTTGAATTTAATTTATACTGAAAAATGTTTTGTAGAAATTGTCAAGGAACTTGAGCAGCAAAAAAATAAAAACTAATGGAATAATATTTCGATAATAAAATGATATTAAGCCGGTTGAAGTAATTATTCACAATAGATCATTATTTTGAATAGATTATTATTGTGAATCGGAAATACTGTTCATATTCAGATATAGATGTCGCAATGAATCAAATTTATATTTATAAATATTTCAAGGTATAGTTGTTTACGACAGGTGAATATGAATAATTTTTATTTAAATTTTGTTTTGTTTTTGTTGCAACTAGAAAGTAATTAACTTTATAATTTATATTTGGTTATATGCATTTATTGTAATTAAACAATCACCATATTTAAGTAAAATTCAATTAGCATTTAAAATTTGGTATAAAATCGTAGGCTATGATTTATTTTAATATTGTTATGATTGCAATGACGGAATTAAAGGTTGTCAAACGCATAGCAATAACCGCCTACTTATATAAAATGGGTATGAATTAATGGTTTTCAAATTTTCAAAATATTTTGTAATTTAAAATTAATTAATAAATTACATACATAAATTTGTTAAGAATTGAGAATCTTTAAATTGTGTTAATGTGAAATTTCTAATATACCATATACGCATCTTACCTTCACATTGATTTCCTAATTAAAAATTAAATTTACATAGTAATCTTTCACTCATATGATTAAATTGTTATTGCACTATTCTGCGCACACATTTATAAAAGTACCTGTGCTTAAATTTTGAATATAAATACATACATATGTATCCTGCTATAATCAACCATGATTCTCTTATTTTCTATTAGTACCATTTTTTACCTTTGTGGATATACATATACATATAACTAAATCAACATCATATTCAAATTTGTGCCAACATTCTTAATATTAAATGATAATTGAAGAACTAGTGATACATATCACTACACATAGGTACACATAGGTAGATACATATAGATACGTGGGTTCATAATATACCTTTCAATCATAGATCGGATTAGGTCAAGTTGAACAAAAATTATGGATCTTACTACGTACCTAGATACCTACATATACGTATATAGTCTATAGAGGTAGACATAACAAGATGATAAGAAATAATAGATAAGTGAAGAAATCGCTTTTAGCTGTGTACACAAAATAAAAATCACGATTTTGTTTTTTAAGAGAAAGTTTCATAAAGAACTTATTGTTGTTGCCATTCTTTAAATTCGTCATAACATCAAACAAAACATCACAAAAAAAAATTACAGGTTTTTCAATATAGACAAAACAAAAGGTAAAAAAGGTAATATAAAGATTGTGGTATTATAAATTTTTGGATTCTTTTAGAACACATCAATTGCATTTTTATTACCAGCATACGAGATATTTCGCTATTTGTCAGTTTGGTTGGCAGTTTGCAGTGCGGACTCACCAAAGATATCCGCGGTTACGCGTGTTAATTTGTGTTGGAAGTTGTGTTTGCATATGTAAATATGTACAATATACATGTACATACATATATCAAAATTAAAAGTAATAAACATTCCAGTTTAATTCACCTAATTTAATTAAAAATATGAATTTGTATCTCTTTATTGTAAAGCGTAACGTTTTATAGATTCTTTTTTATTATAATATTCAAAACATTGAAATTTTTTTATTGTATGCAAGTATGTTTAATAAATTTTAATGAAACACTGATGTGCAATACTTTAAAATTGAAAATTTGCGATGAAAGTAAAAAAATAAAAAAAAAAACAGAATAACGTTAATAATTCATAAACAGCGAGCGGGTGTTAGAATTAGGTCGAGTCACGTAAAAGATTGCACGTATAATTTGTATGTTAAAAAAAATGCGTAAATTATTGTATGAATGGTGTATATAAGCATGTGCAGTCCGGAAAAGCAGATACATGAATTAGACATGCATGTAGGTACAACTCTTCATGAGTCATGTAAAGTCGTCATGCCTTTTGATATACAAAATTATATTCGTATGATTTGAATCCAAAATAATATTATTGTAAAAATATTATTATTAAAGTTATAATTCTGAAAATCTTTTAAAGCGAAACTTGAAAGTTTTATACGAAAAATTGTAGGTCATATTAAACTCTTATTACCTTAAATAAACTCTTATACATACACATTCTGCAGAAATTTGTTTTAAGTCGCCTTATTAAATAAGAAATCCCGTTTTTGTAATTATATTTTCCGTTTTTCGATTCGATTTTTTTATTACAATAATGACGAATTCTTAAACCGAATGAGAGACCCTACTATAACTTTAATATTACAGCAATACGGTATTTCTACCCCATTTAGCTTATGCGTTGTAATTGCGGAATTGTGTAATAATGAGTGAACAAGACATGTGATACATAATTAAGCGTTTAATATAAAATTTCCATGCATTATGTAAGTCGCATTTTTTCCTACAATTTTTTCTAAAATTTCTTTAAATTGTGACATTCATCTTAATCAGAATTAGCTTGTAATTGAAATTTTATTGACTGATTTTGTAACCCCCGAAATATGTTTTAATAAACCATAACATTGAATATTTCAGCAAATTAAAAAAAAATAAAATAAAATTTATGAGGAAAATCTGCAACTAAAGGACACAAAGACGGGAAAACTTTGAAAAAAAGAAATTAAATTTAATAGAATTCAAATTATATTAAAAGTTTTGTATAATAAAATTGAAACAGGTAATAATGATAATGATCGCAATAATATAACGAAGGCTAGACTTTTCAAATGATAAACAATAAAATTTTATAATCTTCTTTTATTCTTTCTTATTTTTTACCCTTATAACTTCAAGACAATTGAATTTTTCACCATATATACAAAACTTCAGCTGATTTAAAAATAAAATTTTAAAAATTTAAAAATTGAATAATGCATGAATATATTCGAATATAACAAACTATATGTATAAGTTCGAATATAACAAACTATATGATCAATGATTCTCCAGCTTTTTGTAGCAGTATATTGATCATATCAGGGGGTACCTAACACTAAATTAGTAATGGAAGCAGTAATTCAATGTGAAAATATAATTATTGGACTTGTTAAACTAAAAATGCCCGTAGTATAAAGGATATAAGGACTTTTATAAATAAATAGTAAGAAAATAATTCCGTGCCCCGGATTAAATTAAACGGGGATAGAATAACAAGTTCCGGAGACACTGATTTAAATAAATCTTTTACGTATACTTCAAAAATGTATGTATGTCATGTATTGATTAAAATAATGTAAAAAATTGTATTTGATGCGATTGCGATCAACAGATGCATCAAAAAATATAATAAAAATGAAAATAATAATAATAATAAAAAAAGATCCAAATACGGCAAAATTAAACATAAAAAAAAATTCCAAACAAAAGATGAAATTGAGAGAACAATCAGGATGCGAATGAAGAAATACATTGATTTTGACGCGGCTCATTATTTATGCATATCACCTCAAAACCATTTAATTTTTATTTTTTTTTATCGTTATGTAAAGAAATATAAAATTTAATACGTCTTACATGATTTTGAATGTTAACCAATGGGTATTGTAGTACTATTATAGTCTATTTGTTCATGTTTAACATCATGTTTCTTATATGTATATAATTTTCTGCTTTTATTTTGTAGAATTGCGGATGGACGTTGGTTCTAAAATATTAACATGCTATGGCGAATCGATGCAATTTAAATTTCCAGGATTGATTTGACCCAATGAGAGTGGCAGTCGAATTGTACTACTATAAATGAAACTCATGTAAAATGTGGTATGTCACCGTCTGCATTTGAATGTAATCTGAAAAATTTGTTCGTTAGATCACTATAGGTATATAAATTTTTTTTGTAAATAATTTAATAAACTTTTAGTTGTAGTAGCTCTTAATGTTACTCGCATAATATCTTTTATGTTTAGATGCTTACATTTTATTAAACTATGTAACTGTGAAATTTTTATATAATGACAATGGAAATTCGCACTAAGAAGAAATGACTAAATATGATTTTAGAACGTACCATATGTTTGTCACCTACCTAGTAAATCCAATGACATCAGAAACTGGTTCATGGTGATATACAATAATCATACACCAGCCCTATATGCTCCCCCTTGGAGCGAAGAAG